TAACGCCACGCTTCTCCTCATAGAGCCCCACCTCTCGGATAATCTGCTCTGCATACAGGTTGAAAAGGTATGGAGACAGGACACATCCCTGACGTACACCCTTCCCAATTTTGAACCATGCAGTGTTGCCCTGCTCTGTTCTGACGACTGCCTCTTGGTCCAAGTATAGGTTTCGCATTTGCACGATTAAATGTTCTGGGATTCCCATTCTTCTCAGAGTGAGCCACAGTTTGTCATGATCCATGCAGTCAAATGCCTTTGCATAATCAATGAAACACAGATATACATTCTTCTGGTATTCTCTGATTTCAGCTAAGATCCATCTAACATCAGCTACAATATCCCTATTCTTGCCTAATTCCCATTCTCAAAGGGAATGCCTTTAATCTCTCTCCACTGAGAACAATGTTGGCTCTTGAGTTTGTGTTTATACTTTTTACTATGCTGAGAAAATTCCCCTCTATTCCTATTTTGTTAAGTGTTTTGATCAAGAAAGGGTGTTGGATTTTGTCAAAGGCCTTTTCTGAATTGATAGGACCATGTGATTCTTTTTCTTGGCTTTGTTAATATGACGAATTACACGGATTGTTTTTCCTTTGTTGAACCATCCTTGCATACCTGTTATGAATCTGTCTTGGTCATGGTGAATTGCAATTATTTTTTTAATGTATCATTGGATTCTATTGGCCAGGATTTTATTCAAGATTTTTGCATCTACGTTCATGAGAACATATTAGCCTGTAGTTTTCTATTTTGGTGGTGTCTTTACCTGGCTTTGACATCAAGGATATGTTTGCTTCATAGAATGAGTCTAGGAGAATTCCATCTTTTTCTATTTTCTGAAATATTTTATGTTGAATTTGTGACAATTTTTCTCTGAATATTTGATAAAATTCACTTGTTAAAACATCTGGCCCAGGGCTTTTTTGGCTGGAAGTTGTTTTATTACCTTTTCATCTCTTCTTTTATAATGGGTCTGTTCAGGTGTTCAATTTAGGTTTGTGTCAATTTAGGTAGGTTGTGAATTTCTAAGTATTTGTCTATTTCCTCTAAGCTTTCATATTTTTTGAGTATAGTTTTTCGTAATATTTCATTGTTAGCTTTTTTATTTTAATTGGTTCTGTTGTGACATTGTCTGTTTCATCTCTTATTCAGGTTATTTTTGTCTTTTCCTTTGTTAATTTTGCCAATTTTATTGACATTTTTTTATTATTAAACTTTATTAGTTTTAATGAACATTTACAGAGATTTTGGGTTCTCATTCATTCATTCATTGTTGCACTGTTTTCTCTACCTTCCTCCCCAGTTTGTTCTTCTCCCCCCCACCCCCGAATGTCTGTTTTTTGTGTTTTTTTTTTAACAGTAATTTAAAGTTTATTCCAGCTATAATGCAGGTTATTCTGACTTTAAGGTAGCATCACATGGCATACTTCTGAGTCCATTCCCGAGATATTCTGTTGTATTTATCTCTGTCTGTTTTATAGATCCGTGCAATCTCTGGCACTAGGGGGTCATCTGGGTTTGGAATGTCTGTTTTAAT